TGAATTGATTCATAGATAATCTTACAGTTTCGGTGTTACTGTGTTCCATTTGTCGGTTTAACATTAGAACTTCAAGGAAAGAGATCTGCCACACGAAAAGGTTAAAGAATCCAACAGAAAAAGCAAAATCAACAAGAACCATTTTTCACATTCAAAGGACAACACCAAACGTTATAATTGGCAAAGGATACAAAGATAAGCATCAAAGTATAGTTAATTGCTTTATTGTAGTAGACATCAGTGTTGACTGTAGTAGCATTTAAATGCATAGGTGAAAAGCAGTCCATGTTATCATCCACCGAACGACTCTCCATTAGTCCTTCTAGATAATATTTCTCTTGATCTCCATCTAAGCAGAAGGAAAAGCAATGTAAGTCACACTCACACAGTACAAAGTTTGCATTTTTCTTTTAAGACAACAGTTTATAGAAAGTACTCGAGATATGAGGGATACATACTGTAAAACAATAAGCCATCTTTTCCCGAGGAGAGAAGAGAAACCTGAGCCGCAATTTCAAAATTGCAATGTTTCTCCATTTCATGAATGGGAGCTGCAATAGGATAAAGCCCCAGCAATTTTTGATTTAATGTTCGGTGGAAAACAAATAATAGAACAAACAATTTGAAATTTAGAGGAATTCAATAAACTATAACAGATAGTGAAGAAAAATAGAAGCGCAAATTACAATATTTCCACTTCCAGCTGGAAGTCTCCTGAAACAACTGGGAGGAGAAGACTCCCATCTGTAGAAAGAACAAAAAATCGTAACAAAAAATCATATTATATAAATTAGGAATCTTCGAATTAATTTTTCTTGCCAGTATCCATTTAATAAACAAACGAACATTGACGTTACAATTTAATTTTGAGGAAACATATTGGCAACGAAACAATATTAGAGAATTTTAAGTATATAACCATATTTGATGAATTATTTTCAAGAAAATAGAATTTTCCACACTATTGACAACCCACATTTTAGTAATGGATTTTATCGTTATGGACAAAGCATTCTTACTAGTTATCCTCACAAAAGAAACAAAATTTTCCGAAAGAAGTAATTTTTATTACCAAGTGATAAGTGTTAGTTAATAAGTAATCATCTTCCTGCCCAAAGTCAACCTCTTTTCCACTGCAAAGAAACAGAAAGATAGCATAAATTAAACTTATCTTATGAGACCTTGAGTAATTATCAAATCAAATATGTACATTTTATAACTCGTGAAGAAGCAAGCACACACTGAAAAGTGAAAACTACA